TTTGAATTCGACTTGTGTTTTAAACGAGTTGAACTTAAATAATTTTTAGACTCGTTTAAAAAACATGAATATAAAAAAGTTCAACTGAAACGCGCAAAATTTAGTTCGTTTATATGTAAAAATAGTTGAGTCAGTCCGGTTTTGACTCGAATTTGGCTTAGGCTTAAAATTGGCTTGAGTTCTACACGAATTAAATTTGAACAATTTTTTTAAATTCATTTAGAAAAATAAGATCGCTAGACTCGAGTTTACGCTCGACTCAATTAACTCCTGTATCGATAGGTTGTTTCGACAACATTAAAGGACAAAATCGATCAATTTTGCTCTAATTATTAAGAAAAAATGTCACCAAAGCCTATAGAATGGGAGCCATGATGGACATCATCTTTTCATTTGGGTGAAGTTTTTCTAAACACAAAACGCAGGATGAAAAATTACGTCCTCAGCACACAATTCCCTTTATGCAATTTTGTTGGGTAGAACTTTACCCTCCAACGTTTGATTTGAACGTTACCAAGTTCGATCTAGCTTCATTGATCAGAGTTTTCTCATCTGATTTCACCACCAGCACCAAACTCAGTCGATGGAACTGTGATCATTTATATGTGTCAGTGAATTTGGGTCGTTCAATTCTTAGGAAGAAGAAGGACCATTATAAATGAAAGGATAAGCGACCAAAGTTTTGAGCCTAGAAAATGGACCCAAATTCCAAGATACCCCCACCAAGCCTTATTCTCAAGAGAAAATTTTAAATATAATAAAATATCATATTATTATTGACACGTGACGGTATAAATTGTCTAAAACTAACGCCCCTACTTAATACTAGGGGCGGAGTCAGGAATGCATTGTAACGAGACAAACTCTAAACATAATAAGACAAATATTATAATGCATGTACTTTAAAATTTTAATGAATTGTAATTATTAAATTAATTTTTTATTTTATTTATTTATAATTTTTTAATTAAATAGTGACATCACAGAATAATGATGAGCTAGATCAGGTCATCGCCGCGTAGCTTTTTACAAACGCTATGACACAGCGTTCCTACAACGCCCCCAAAGGAAAAAAAAAAACATTATAAAATGCCCAAACGGGATCTCTGATGCTTCCCTCTACTTCTTTTCAAAATCTCTCTCTTGTCGCTGTACATTCTGCAACTTTTCTAGGGTTCTTTCTTAAGGGTTTATCAGTGGTCACTTTACTAAGGTATGTCCCTCCATTCTCACTATTTAACTCTCTAAACACGTTTTTCAATCTTTGTTTATGATTATAATGTTCAAATGGTTACGCTCAATACGCTCACTTTTTTTTTTTGGTGGTTAAATTGATCCATAGGTAGCTTCAATGTCTACATTTGGCGCTTCATCTTCGGCGAACTTAAATCCAAACAAGTCTGTTGAGGTGACAATTGCTTCAAATTCTGTCTAGTTTTCCTATGGTGTTTGAATTTGCAGGGAATATGAAGAAAGTTTGAGGATTCGTGATACGTGATTGTTGATTTCTGCCTGTGTGTATTGTTTATATCTTCATTTGTCTGTGTACTCCATTTTTACATTCATGTGGTGCTATTTTATCTTAATCTGGTGCTTCATATAGTGGAATGTAATTTTTTAAGTGATTAACTATGTAAGTTTCTTTGGTATATAGGTGGTACAACCTCCCAGTGATTCTGTGTCGAGCCTTAGTTTCAGTCCCAAGGCCAATGTGCTAGTTGCAACTTCTTGGGATAACCAGGTCAGTTTTTCCAATTTGGTTTTGTGTTTCTTCTGTTTGATTGCTTCATGATAATAAGATTATTGGAGATGTATGGGTACATACTAGAATTTGTTTGTGCTTTGCTCTGTTTTGTTGATTAGGTTATCAACCCAGACTAAAGTTCTTGAACCTGTTAGTTTAGTTGTTTGGACATGGGAGTATAATTAGCTTCACTTTAACTGCACCTAAAACTTCAACAAGGCTAGTTTTTACCTTTCCAGATACTATAAGTAACTTATAGCAGAAGACGCAAAATCTAGTTTATTTGTAAGCTTTTGGCAACTAACAAAGCGTTTCTTCATATACAAAGATCAGGGAAAGGGGTTTTGGTGGAAATTGTTGTGTGAATTAGGGGTACATTGCTATTTAGTTTGTTGTTCTTTATGGCTGGTATACTATTTTTATTCATATTGCCAAAAACATTTCACAGGTACGATGTTGGGAGATAATGCGTAACGGGACTACTGTTGGCACTGTGCCCAAAGCATCAATATCACATGAACAGCCGGTAACCTATTAAAGATCCATTCCACTGGCAACCTAATTTTCTGTTTTTAAGTTTACATTTTGACAACTGATTTGTTGTAAATACTTTGAAGGTTCTATGCTCTACTTGGAAGGATGATGGCACAACTGTCTTCTCTGGAGGTTGTGACAAGCAAGTAAAGATGTGGCCGTTATTGTCTGGAGGACAACCGGTAACCGTGGCCATGCATGATGCTCCCATCCGGGAAATTGCTTGGATCCCAGAGATGAACCTCTTAGTCACAGGAAGCTGGGACAAGACTCTTAGGTAAGCATCAGTTTCTGTTCTTTTTAATATTTATGAAGGATCAGTAATGATGTTGTGAATGTTTTTTTGTTGATTCTATTTCGTAGGGGGTGATAATATCCCATACATGAAACACGTCGCTTGATTTTATATTTTGTGATGGGAATTGCTGGCATTTGTATTTTGTCATTATTTTTTGTTGTCATCAACTCATCGTATTTCATTCTACTTGCCCTTGCCCTTGTTTTCATGAGAAAATTTTATGGATATAACCTACACTCACTTCACTCTGACTCCATGTTCTTGCTAAGCTGACAAGGACAAGGCAAGTTGGGGGCAATTTTTTTTTGCACTTTTAACCTTATCAGTTTATTCTATATTTAACTTTTAATTAATCGTGTCTTGAGTTTGGCAGTTTTGTTTCTGTGATGATTATTTTCTTTTCTATTATGTGCTAATCGTGCTGCAACCTATGTCTTATTTGCACTGTAGAGTTTTCTTTGCACTTGATTCAGTGTCTGTACAACCTTTTGTTCGCACACACATCTGAATGCTGAGACATTTATATTTATTTTTTTATTTGTTTTTCTTCTATTTTTCAGGTACTGGGATTTGAGACAGTCAAATCCAGCACATAGTCAACAGCTTCCTGATCGTTGCTATACACTTTCCGTAAGACATCCTCTGATGGTTGTTGGAACTGCAGATAGAAACCTTATAGTGTTCAACTTGCAGAATCCTCAGGTATCGAACAATGTTTAGAAGTAGGTTGTAGACTTGTTGAAATTTGTAACAGTAGTAGCCCAAAGAGCATTTCATATTGTTGGCCGGCAATATGGAATAAAAACTTCTGCGTATGGGAAGGCTGGACCAAATAATAACTTCAGATTTGAATGATAGGGGGTAGTGGGACTTTTATGCAACCTGGAAGTCAAGGCAAGCTGCTGAAAATTTAAATGCAAGGCTTCCCATTTATATCTTTTTTTTGGGATAAGTAGGCATTCTGAATTATCCTTTATGATTTGTACTCCTTACTATTCAACATTTCAAATGGCATTATAGACTTCTATATTAGATTTAGGACTGTGTCTTAAAGTTGGAAAATTTGGACCATCTAGGACACCTAATAGAAAAAAGTACTAGAAGTTGACCTTAAATGTGACCCATAGATTATAGCTGCTATCTGTGTCCAGTAATTATTGAAAAGACTAAAACTACTACCCCGGTTATCAAATTAGACTCCCTGGAATGATCGAACCAATACTTGGAATAGTTTGCACAACAAAGCTCTCTCGGATTGCTGAAGAACTTGAATTGCATCAGTATTCTCATGCATAACTCTGACTTCCTCGGCTTTAAAACCTTGGCTTCTCCATTCTTTTGTATTTTCCTCTAAAACTTCAACAAATCTTGCCTTTGCTTCCACAGCATTACAATTCTGTTCTAGATAATTCTAATTTGAAGAAACACTAAGTTTTTATTGATATCCACAAACACAATATCAGTTCATCATAATGCAATACCCTGATGCATAGAAAAGTTCGGTTTATATTGATAAGCTGCAGCATTCTCCTAATTTTAGGAAACTTGGGCCTACGTAGTATTTTAGAGTATCGAGAACTCTTTATAAAACCCAAATAACATAATTTGACATAAACATGACCCATTTACTTTGGCTAATACCCATGCCCAACAATTATTGAAAATAACTGACAAGCCATTAACACCTAAACTCTCTTAACACAAGAATAAAAAGGTTCTGCTGCATGTTGACCTAAATCTAATGTCACATATGACTCAAATTTGATTCAAAACTTCATGCCACATGCTCCAAACATCGCACATGTGAAATTTATTAATTGCCTCCATTCTTCTTGACCACATGCTTTGCATCGGTTATTCTGGAACTTAATTAGGCTTTTATTGTGAACAAGATACAATATAACTTACATAATGTCAAGAAGTTGGATCTCTCTCCAATTGATGATGCATGAATGCTTTTTTATTCATTGGGATGGCCATTGGTCATGAAATCCCATGCACAGCACTGTAGTGTATTGTTTCTCATGGTCAGACCATTTAAGGTGGCTTTGGTCTATTTTATCGGTTATCTCCAATATATAGGGAATGACAAGCTTAGTCTAGGCTCACACTCCTATGACCTTTAATTCTTTTTTTTTTTTTTTTTTTTCCCCTTTTCAAACTTACTCCAGGCTTAAATTCCATCATTCAAATGGTAACACACATAGTTTAAAGTTACTGGCTTTTTATTCCTTATTTCAATTTGAATAACATGGATTATGTTAAGCATTTTTTGAATCCAATTAGACTGAGTTCAAGAGAATTGCGTCACCCCTCAAGTACCAGACAAGATGTGTTGCGTCGTTTCCTGATCAGCAAGGTTTCTTGGTGAGTTATTCACTTTCATTGTATTTAACTTTTTTCTGGTCTTTGGATTTGTTCTCATTCTGTACCTTCTTGCCACCACCATGCTTCTACAGTTGACTGTAAAGATGAACCTAGTGAGAGGTTATATCCCTGACTGTAAAAGTAGCATACATTGCATAGGTGTTAAATGGAAACTTCTCTGCTCCATTAAATTAAAAACATGAATTGTTGCATGAAATCGAAATTGTTAGGTAGGGAATGGAACGATCAGATTTGATTGGTATCGTAGTCTGGCGACTGGGTTAGATGCTAGAGAATCCTCAGAAATTCAGTTTCATTTGCTGCTTTCAGTAAACATTGGCATTTGAATGTTTACAATCCGTATGAAAAAAATCCAAGAGTTTGGAAGTTAGGGAACTTCAAAGTTATCATTTCAGACTCTTTTTACATAGAGTTAATCTGTCTAATTTGGAATATGTGAGTTAGTACTTGTTGCATGGTATGTCATTTCTTTTCTGATCATTATTTTTTAAGTGTCCAATTAATAAGTGATTATCATGTCTTTTCTTATCTTTGTTTCTATTAGAGTTCAATTAATTATTATCTAATTCCAAACCATCAGAAAATAGAGATATTAGTTTTCTTTTAGTGCTTTGGTGTCTTGAGAAATGATCGTGTAAGATTTAGGTATGCTTATGGGGTATGATCATCAGTTGGCTTCATGTATTTGCTGTTAACTTCAAACATCCATGGAATATTTATACCATCTAACGTGCACTCTGAAGTTTATCAAACCAAACATTGAGACAAAAAACATATTGCATGGTATTCCCGATATGTCTGCAAATAAAGTTTGCCAGTATGTTAAATGCAAATTAGAAGAACAGACTGAAAAGCTCTTGACATAGAGTACGATTGGGCACAAGTGGTGAAGCTGGAGCGATTTGTGCTTCTATATTATTACGTGAGAGATTGGAATGAATTGAAGAATACCAGGAAGAAAAGATTCCTATTTAATAGTTAGAGGAGGAAAATGGGAAATTATAATGAAACAATCAATTTCATGATTAATTCTGGTTACTGTAGAAATATGCAGAAGCTTGGAGATCTAAAATTGAATTTTGCTTCAGAATTCACTTTTATTATTCAGCTGAGAAGCTTTTTTTTTTTTGGCCGCAAGGATTTACTTTGGGATAATAGAAATGGTTGGTTGCTAGTAATATTCCTTATAGTAGCCATTCATGCCGTATCTGCAATGGTTGGGGTAGTGTAAGAAGTTTTTGCAAAGGCTGCTGCTTGCCATTTACCTACTTGAGCATTTAACGGCGCCTCACCTGTTTCCTCCCAGTTCTAAATTACTAATTAGCTGGCTTTATGAATTGAGGTAACAGATGTTGCATGAATGTTTGAGGGAGGTAGTTTATTTTTGGATACTTGACAGAAATATACATGTCAGAGAACTGAAGAAGTTGACTTTCTGGACCTTTTTGACCATGAAGAGTTTGAGTGAATGTATCCTGTAGAGGTCAAAACAGAGTTTGTATCCAACGGTATGATTTTTGCTGTTAGCATAAGTTCTGTTTGACACAAAGTTTCCATGTGTAGCTGGCTGTAGATGAGTTTTGTTTGATACCTCTGTATGTTTATGGTCATTAATTCGGCAATATTATCCAATTTCTTTTTAAGCTATTATCTCTTAGTTTATCTGATGCTATTTTTTTTTTCTTGTTGTATCTGACAGCATTCTCTTTAGATTTCTAATTCATATTTTTTACTTGCGATGTGAAATTTTTTTTTTTTAACATATTCAATGTCCTTGCATTTACAAAATGTGGTTTTATAGTTCACTTTCTTTATTTTTCTTTGTATAGATTGGCTCAATTGAAGGTAGGGTTGGTGTACATCACCTTGATGATTCACAACAAAGTAAGAACTTTACTTTTAAATGCCACAGAGAGGGCAATGAGATATACTCAGTCAACTCGCTGAGTTTTCATCCGGTAAGATTTTATTTTGGTGTTAACTTATTTTTTGGATACCTCTTGATATAAGAAATATTGTCTTCTAAGATTTTTATGCCGCTGAACCTGTTCAGTTTATGTCCCTGAACAAGATTGCTAGTTAGCTTCTGACAGTGCAATCATATCATGATTTATGTACTTATGCTTTCCGTATTGTTGACTTTACTAAAATCAATTCAGTACCCCAACCTGAGTAATTAAATTGCATCATAGTCATGTGATTTGCTCTTTGGTTTTGTTAGGGATTACAGATGACCCGATCAACTTCATTCGTAATTAGTGAATTTTCTGACAGCTCATTTCAATGCTTATAAAAAATTGGAATATTTTCTCCATTTTGTTGTAATATATTTCGTCAACAAGGTATATATATGGTGACGTTATGCTTTTTCTAACCCATTATAGGGTTTCGTCCCTACTACTGCGATTCGCTAACTCGAAGTGCCTCGCTATGAGAATCTAGCTTCGGTAACGCTCGGCTAAGTCTTGAACCTTCACGCTGACCGTTCGCTTTGTCAATAGCAAAGGCGCTTCTCTTTGCCCCTTAAGTAGAAGGACAAGAAAAGGGATTATTGGTTCTCTTGCTCCCTCTTCCTATTTAGGGTGTTAAGGCGAAAAATGTCTTGATGAGCGCAGATGATTTCTCATTTCAATGGGCATCCATGAGAAAGTCCCTGAGCTGTGATCTTGTGATGCCCTATATGAGTTTCTAGGTTGTATTGAATCATGATCTCCACCAAATAATGAGTTAGTTGCCTAATATTAACCTATGAGGTCAAACCCTGATATTCTTTTTGGTCGCCTTCATGCTCGGTGTGAACACATACAAGATCCCCCAAAGACATATCATCAATGCTTCTACAAAAAGAAAGTTTGCTGAACTCTGAAACCGAACAACTTTTTAACCTGTTGCTGCGTTTACTTCCTGTATTGTTTTGGTTTTACCAGGAGGAAGCTCATCACCTCACATTTCCCGTCACGCACAATTGTACCCGCTGGGTGTGTGTTCTTACAATCAAAAAGTGGCATTTTACATGATAGAACTCCATTATTCTTTCAAAATGATATTTATTACCCAGTAGGACAATGAAGCTCTTCTGCATATATTATTTAGATCTTGGATATAGCATCTTCAGTGGATCAATGATTATTGGCCTTGTCTAGTTTTCAATTTCCCCACCTGTTTTTTATTGGAGTTTTTTTCCAATATGTTTTCTTCTAAAAACTTGGATATTGTGTCAAGATGATGTAAAGATTTTGTGATTAGTGCAGACGATTGTTTTGGATTGATTACATCCTGGAACGAATCTTTTGGAGAGACCTATTTGATACTTTCATCAATGCTACTTGATATTGTGGTATGCATATCTGTATGAATGTGCCAGACCTTAGTCTTCTTTTCCTCAGATGCATCACACATTTGTAACTGCGGGATCAGATGGTGCTTTCAATTTTTGGGACAAAGATAGCAAGCAAAGACTGAAGGTTGTTACCTGCTGTTTTTTTATTTTGTGAATTATTGTTTTACATGTTAATTGTTAAGTGCCTTTGTTTTTTTTTTTTTGGCGAATCATCTTTAAATTTCTGACAGTGTGCTTTGAAGATGATAAAATGTGCCAGCGAGGCTGATTGTATCAAATTTGCAATACTCAACACAGCAAAACCTTGTTCCAACATTTTTATGGTCTATTGCATGAATCTTGTTTTGTCATTGTGGGTCATGCTTTCTGTGAAACAAGAAATAGCCAGTTAAATTAAATCAAATCACACATATGCACATGCTACTTATGTCAAGTCTTCTGTTCTTCTATTTCTTTCGGTTGGTGATTTATTGTAAATGCATGCTTTGTTTGATTTTATAAGTTGGGAACATAATTTGCTCGTATGGATGTTTGAAGTTACCTTTCTTGGGCCATTAAAACGTGTTTACAATAGTTGAATGTTTTTGTCATTTTGGGAGCTTAACCTGTGACTTGGGGTGGACATCAAATTTAAGATTTCAAGTTCTGTGATATCAGCACACCATCTTGATAGATACTAATTTTTTTCCTTGCATGCAGACAGCATTTTGGTGGTTTTGCCTTCTCAGATAGTAGATCATTGTACTATTCAGACACACTCTCCCCTCTGTCTGATTCCCAAATTCTGCATTAGCGCTCACATTTCCTTTTTATAACAGATAACACTTAAAACAGTAAAAGTTCTGGAAGTGTATTAACTGCACCACTTGCTAATATATGCTATCATGTTTCTTCATTTCACTTTTCTAGTTTTTGTTTGTCTGATTTATATTCATGTTACGTCAAGATGCTGTGCATCATAGACCATCTTGATTTTTACATTTCATTTCTCTAATTTTTGTTTGTCTGGTTGTTATCCAGGCTATGTCAAGATGCAGTCAACCTATACCTTGCAGTACCTTCAACAATGATGGCTCAATATTTGCATATGCTGTATGTCATGGGTTTATTTGATGCTATGAACCTTGTATCATTGGGCACACTCACACGTGCCTCCTATGTTCTTGTTTCTTTTTTGTGTCTGGCTAACATTTGCTTTGGTTGTAGGTTTGTTATGATTGGAGTAAGGGTGCAGAAAATCACAATCCATCAACAGCAAAGACCAATATTTTCTTGCACTTACCACAGGTAGAGTTACTTGTCTGTGCGATGATCATTGTTGTTTCTAGATCTTTCTTTTTCATTTCAAACTTCATAGTCTATTCTGTGTATGAGCACAATTCTATTTGCAATTTGCTCATTTGATGCAGGAGTCTGACGTTAAAGGCAAACCTCGTATTGGTAATAGTGGTAGAAAGTGAAGCTGCTTGTGGTTGTGGCAAAGAACAGTGTGTGCTTTTTTGTTCATGGGAAACTTCTTATTTTCTGTTCTGACTACTCTTTTTTTCCGGCTGTGTTCACTTGTGATTACCCCATTAACAAAACTGGATCTTGCCATCAGAGTTTTGATGTTGTTGGTTTTTGGTCAACTTTTAAATTCCCCTTTAACTACCCAAAAAAAAATAAAAGAACACTTAAAAGTTCTTATCTATTGATAGTGTTTTCCTTCGAGGCCCCTATCCATGTCGTGGCGTTTTTGCTCGATGATCATCACCGACTTAACAAAGTGAAGGGTTTCATTTTACAATTGGTGGATTTCAATGCCATCTTCTGTTCGAGTATTTGATGCTCCGGTTCAGATTCTTCGTAGAAATGCAAGAGTGACTACTGTATTATTGGCTACTGAAAGGGATTAATGTTTTTATTCTACCTAATGATTCAGTTCAAGAGTTCCTTTCCTATGTCTCCTTTAGAGTTATGGTTGATATAATTTTATGCAGTTTACCTAAAGTACTGTATTTTTGGGTTGTTTCATTTTATTTGTACTGTGACTTCTAAATTATTACTATATCTATATCACTGTTTTACCTGAAAATGCAGGTCTTACATCATGCTTTTTAATATAAAAGTGTATTTTCAAACCTTCGTATTCCAGGAGTGTGTTGCAAACACGTTTTTATTTTTGAAATGTGAATTTAAATAATATGTTAAATTACACTCACCCCCCCTCACATTTGATTTTTATAACATGGACACCCTCTTATGTTTAAAAAATTACACTAAGACTCCAATAATTAGATAGAATTAACTATCTTAATAAAAAGATCATTTTGCCCCTCTATTTAACACAAACTTAAACTAAAATCCCAAGCCTTATCCCCAACCCTATTCTTCACCGTCATCTATACAATGCTCTCTCTCTCTCTCTCTAGCTTGAAATCATTGGTCTTTTCTCTCTCCCTCACTCACTTTTTCTCTGTGTGTGCATATATATATACACACTAGCCCAAAATTGCAAAAGAATCGGTGAAAATTTTCAGCCCTCCCCAAACACTATGACACCTTCTAGTAGCCATCCTATCCAAAACGTTAATCCCACCCAAACAAAGAATGTCAAGAGAGAGAAATCAAAAGGATCCAAAGCTTAAAAATATGACAAATGAAAATGACAACAATGATTTTTGAGGTTTGATTTTGGTAGTGGTGGTTGTTGGGTTGTGTGGTTGAGAAGGTGGAAATGGAGGTGGAGGAGAAGAATGTGATGGGGTTTTTTATCGGACCATGGTGGTGGTGTATGTGTGTGTGGTTGTGGAGCTGAAAATGGAGATGGAGGTGTTACTAGGCAGGGGTAGTGCTCTATGTATGCGTGTGGAGAGAGAGAGGAGGAAGAGGAGATGGTGGTGGTTTTCGTGGTATGGAGGCGACGATGGGGGGTGGTTAATTGTGATGGTGGTAATAGTAAATTTGGGGCAAATCTGATTGATAAATGGAATTTACATTAATATGTTATATAATAAACAAAAAATTCTAGTATTTAACTTATTAATTTGATAGCTTATGATATATAAAATAGAGAAATGATAAATGAGAGATGAAATAAATTCTAGGGGTAAGAAGGAAGAATAAATATTTGAATTTTTAATCTTAATTTTGAAGGGTATTTTTGGTCTTCTATAAATTATTATTGATGATATCAGCTTTGATCGTAAACCATTCTAACATTTGTTAGTTGGAGGAGGTGTGATTGTTATAAGTTTTAAATGTCCAGATAGTTGTGTAATTTTTGAAACGTGAGAACGTGTCCGTGTAATAAAACCAAATTTAAGAGGATGTGAATTTAATTTATCCTAAATAATATTTTCAAGGAAACACGTTTGAAAAATAAATAAGAAACTAAGAAAGTATGGGATCTAGATTCTGTAAAATACACCATGTATTGCTGGGGACACATTTATATACTGATTATTTTTTGTTGACCGAATCATCAGTTTTCTTTCTTCTCAATACTCATTTTCTTTTTTTCAAAAAATTTGAATCTTCACTGTCCTCCCCCCCCCCCCCCCCCCTCCCCCCAACAACAAAAGCTTGTGACTAATAAATCCAAAATAATTTAATTTTGCGAGACCCACGGAATAACAAACAAATCAATCTTTATAAATTTTATCATAAATATGAAATACTCGCAAAAGAAAAGAAATGTGAGACACTCGTCGTTTATCTGCACTTGTACCTATCCAGACTCAGAGGAAGCCAAAAAAAAAACCTACAAGGCACTCGGGATAAAACAAAGATTTATGACTTATGAAATGTTTTCAGGTAACAATTGTAGTTATTCTTGTACAATCCCTCACTATCTGAATACATAAAGGGGAAGAAATAAAAGTACAGAGGTGCTTCCACAGTTCCACAGCCTTTCCTGCTGTGTTTCTATTTGCACCTAAAAATTCAAAACGCCACCTGCAACCTATAGACATTCCAGCACCATCAAATTCCGACAAATGATACAAAATGGACTCCAGAAAAAATATGAAAAAAAAACTATTTAAAAAAAAAAAGGAAGGGAAGAAGTTCATATACACAATGATGATAAAATTCAATTCCAAACACATCCTCGGACTCCATGAAATTGGTGTATGTGTGCCTATAACAGAAACCATTAAAGGATCATCTTGGACCAGACAATTCATCAGCGTGGAGATTGGAAGTGGAATCATCAATTATCCAGCCACTATTTGGGTGGTGAGTGTGATTAATCTCTTGGGGGAACATCTCCTCCTTCTGCCACTCTTCCCACCTCTCCGCCAAGCCATCACCTTCAAGCATCCTGACAACATCTGACATCTTGGGACGTTCCATCGCGTTTGTCTGTGTGCAGAGCAGGGCTACCTGGATTAGCTGCTCCACCTCTTCGTCAACATAATTACCCTGAAGATCTGCATCGACCAGTGTTTCTAACTTCTTTTCCTTCAGAAGTCCCTTTACCTGAAATTTTAAAGACAGTTTATGCCACAGTGAATGAAAGAAGTCCATATAATGGATATTCTCATTAATACCAGTCACATCTATTGAGAATTTTCCTATAAGCAAAAGCCAAATTGGATTTGAAGAGAATATGGAGGTCCCTGTGCAATCTCTAGATGAGAACACAATTACCTGCTTACTTTTCTAGTTTGAAGCCATCTCGCACGTAATTTTCTACTACGTGACCAAGGTTGTCAAAAGGTATTGATGAAGGCAAAACTTGAGTTTTTAATAAGGGGTGCTAACGCCCTATATATAGTAAGGGGCCTTTTCAACAAGGTTCATGCTTTTTGGCTTCCCTAAATTGAGAATTTGGAAGTTGGTAAAGACCCGCCCCTTGTTTCAGAATGAGTCCCCAAGTCTCGGGACATTGTCTTCCACCACCAATGAACTATTAAGGATCACATCTTGCGCATATTCTACACTATAGTTTGCACCTAATTCAGCTTCCACTTCTGGGAGATCAAACGGAGGTCGATTAGTTTCTGCTAGACAAGAAATAAATAACAACCCCCAGGCTTTCTCGACCGAGTGTAGCACTGGCAACATTCGTAACTTAATGTTATGTTCACACGGTGATATTCTATCTTTCCAAGAGTACTATCCTGTACGAAACCTATGTCAAATATTTACTTTGAAGAGAAGCATCATGGTTGCAGAGGACGAAAAGTGACCAAATGAATTTATTTTTTCTTTTTTACGGTCTATTTCTAAAAACATCCAACTTTTTTAGGCTAGAAGAGACAAAAGTGGAAAATGAGAGGTAAAAGTATTTAGGCAATTTATTTTATATAGCTTCATTTATATTGCAGTAGATAGAATATTGCACACAAAAACAAAAAAAAAAGGGGGAAAAATTGCTATTTTCATCTGCTTTCCACATTAATGAATTCAAACAAGATCACATGAAAGCCAACTCAATATGCACATAGAAGTGGTCCACGTAAGTAATATACGAATGTGACATATGTATGAGGGTGATAAATGCTTACCCAATCAAGCAACATGACATCATCATCATTGGCAAGCCGAGCAAGGTCGAAAGCCCTCTGCCCCGTGATGAGTTCAAGAAGCATGACCCCATACCCGAAAACATCAGTCTTCTCGGAAGACTTTCCTGTGGAAAGGTACTCAGGAGCAATATGCCCAATAGTTCCACGTACAGCAGTGGTAACATGAGTATCCTTGTAGTCCATGAGTTTGGCCAGTCCGAAGTCCCCAACAACTGCTTCAAACTCCTCATCCAATAATATGTTTGCAGCTTTGACATCACGGTGAATTATCTTAGGGTCACAATGATCGTGCAAATAAGCAAGGCCCCTTGCAGCTCCCAGTGCAATATGCTTCCTTATTGACCAATCAAGTGGTGGCTGAGATTCACCTCGCTCTAGAGTAATGCAAAAATTAGCTCATGAGATACCACAGCAGATGTTAAAAGCACAGTTGAGAATGGGTCCTAAGATTTTGGTTTTCAAATATTTCTACATTGTTTTAGGATTTTAGTTAATCAGAGGAGTGGAAAATCAGATATCAGACAAATTTGATATATTTTTAGGCAAATTCTCACATATATAGACAAATTTAAGATTTGCTTTCCATTTTCACTGTTGGAATGCCTTTTTGCTCAACATTTGTGATCTAAAAGTTCTGTTAGGTGTTGAGAGGTAAAGTGACTCATAAATTTGGCAATGGGTATGCAAATAAAGCATATAGCCTCAACATAAGCAAATCACTTAAATATTATGAATAATAAAACAATTAACAAGATAAAACATCCAGCAACAGTTTACCTCTTAAACATGATGCAACACTTCCATTAACCATAAAAGGGTAAACAAGCACCCGTTCAGTTGGTGTCATGCAAAAACCACGTAAACGAAGTAGATTTCGATGCACGGCCATGCTAATCATTTCTACTTCTGTTTGGAACTGCAACTCCCCACCTTGAGTACGCTCCTCTTTTAGCCGTTTTACTGCCACCAGAGAGCCATCAGCCAAGCGGCCTTTGTAAACCTTTCCAAACCCACCTCTGCCAAGAATATTTTTATTGCTAAAATGATCAGTTGCAACTTGTAGTTCACGCAAAGAAAACCTCTTGAGCTGTCCTAGATGAACTTCTGGATCCTCTTCGGCTACAAAATAAGTAAATGAGTGAGAATGAATTATATAGGACACTAAAATGAATTGCATAAGCCCTTTCCATTAAGAACCACTTACCCGGAACATCAAAGAAATGATCCTCTGGTTTCCTTCGCCGCCACAAAGCAAGCGCAATTGCGGGGGCGGCAAACAGCAGAGCAGCACCAGCAGCAACTCCTCCAGCAATTGCTCCAGTGGCACTGTTGCCCACTAGAATGACAGTTCACAAACACCAACTCAATATGCCGATTAGTTTTTGTCCATTCCGATTATTAATGAAATTTTATAATAAGTTTATGGCTTTTTTGCATTCCAATAATCAAAGTATTTTTCTCAGGAATCAACCCCTAGTGGATGTAACAAAGGAATGATTACAACAACATAGTAACAGTATCAGGTCAAGAAAAAAAAAACTAGGCTGATTGTAAAACAACTAAACAGTGATGAAGTGAAATTAAGTCCAGAACAAATAGTTTAGAAAGGAAAGCAGAGAATTTCTTTCAAGGAAAAATGTTATTCATCATGCATAATAGACAGTTGGTGAAAGCAAAGAAGTACCAATGATGGCCAAGGACTCTGATGCAAATGCAATTTTTTTTTCTATAGTTGTCATTGCAGTTGCTTTGAAAAACACATTTATGATGTTTCTTCAAGCATAAGTTCAGTAAGTAACATAAAAAAGAGTTACAAGAACAAGTGAATAAAAAGTCAGCCAAGTCTTCCACAGCAAAAATTGTAGGCAACATGCAAAGAAACTTTCAAGTATAAAAGAGGAGCTAAAAATGCAGGGGAAACACAGCAAAATCCAACATTTCCTACAATTTAGGCATGCAAATCATAGTACAAAGTATCTAAACAAACCTGAAGAAGAAGATGGTGGTGTTGGAGTAGCAGGAGGTGGTGGCAAAACTGGAGGAGGGTCCAACTGATTATTAGCAAAACTGAATGGGAACTTGGAAGTCAGAATAACATCTTATGGGTCAACCAAGTCTACCATGGATAAAAGATATAACTTGTAACATACCTGATAGGAGTGAAAAGTTGAAAGGAGCCATTGACTGGAGTTGGTCCTGTCAAACGGTTGTTTGACAGATCACTGCCTTCCACATGCCAGCCAACACAGCATAATGTCATATTCTCATAACACAATAATCTCCGTAAAAATAACCCACAAAGGAAAATAATTTTATATTTGAATAAGCCATCAACTCCCTACTTACAGAACTTGAAGTGAATTCACCGTGGTTAAAGACATAGGAATATTTCCCACCAAACTGTTGTTGTTAAGCCGACTATTCTTGCAGAGACAGCACATAGAACAGACACAATTAGATTCAAAAAATCACAGCTTCTGGCAAATATTACATTCCATACAGTCAAAACATTCATCCATCAACAAAATTGCAAAGAACACAATTCATCCACAATTTAAAAGCAAAAGCTCATAACTAAGAAAAATATAACTAACAGCGCTCGTTTTGGATTGCCAGCAATTTTTAGGACAATTTTTCCCTATCTGGATTACAGAACTTCAGATGACTCAGGCCATCAACAGGGGATGCATAGGTCGCTGTTACCATGGTTGTTTATGCCCAAAAGGGTGCCTGGTTTCACATGGAAGATGAGGTATTTAAAGTTGCACTAAATTTTACTTTGAATTCTGGTATGTAAAGAATCCATTCCCAAAATTTTCCAGCCAATGGTTACTATAAAAAAAGACCGCACACATTATGTACCTGAGCAACAGTTTCAATGCTAAGAGATGCAAGCATCAAGGAGAGTGGAACTCATGCAACTTAAGAACCACCCAACCCCCTGGGGGCGGGGTGGGGGGATGATAGAGAGAAATACAGACAGAAAAATGTCCGCATACATATATATATATCAATATTGCAAGGAGGAGGCAAAGAAGAGAAGTATTCTGAGTTGTATCTACGTAGAAAGACAAGAGCAACTGAAAAAATGAAGAGGAGCAACGGTTTTTTTTTTTTTTTTTGGGGGGGGGGGGGAGAGACACTTCTAGAGGTTCTACCACACTTAAAAAAATCCAATTTATAGGCTTCATAGGACTCTAAAAAGACATAAAAATAAGCTATAAGTGATTGTACACCATAGGAGGAATGGAGGATAAAAGAAGTTTCAAATCTGTTTCTGAAAACAACTAGAACTACATTAATGTTGTTCAAAGAAATTTCCTACATCAATTGACAAATTATCTTCTATCAGGTCCTGCATAAACTTTGTGTATAAAACCCCCACTAGTCGAAGAGCTCAATCACGACTTTGCAATTCTTGTTAAAACTGAGAATCCAATTTGTAAATTTTAAAATTAACAGATTGTTTATGATAAATAGCTTTCAGTATAAGCATTCGATGGAAAAGACAATAGGAAAAATATTCGTCAAGTATTTAGCGTCAACCATAATTTCACTTAAATGTTGGTATGTACATAAATTACTGAGGAGACAGAGAGAACAAATCAAAAGAAACAGAAAATGTCAAAAGTTGTAAGAGACATACATAAAGAGAGATACATAAAGAAGCAAGGATAACTGAAATTTAAGCAAGCAGTTAAGACTTTGTCTTTGGATAAAGATAACAGAACAAATTGAAACACAAGAGATATCAAAAACCAAATAAACAAAAAAAATTTTTAAAAAAAAAAGTAGAGAGGAGAGAAAAAGAGCAACTTTTCTTAACTTTCTTACATATTAATCATATCCAAGGATAATCCAGCTTTGTAGCAATAAAGGAAATTTATAGACATGAACCAACCGCACATGACAACAGACAAAGCCTCGAGTTTCAATCACAAGACAGCTCAAATTTTTAAAATCATGAAGATCAGAGAAATATCCGTTATAAAAAGATTCCAATGAGATTAGCAATAATATGTACGAACTGATAGATCATACTCTACTGGATCTTGCGTGCATCCTCTTTGAAACTATGGTTCTATCGTCCTTTTCATCACACTTTTAAGAAGGAAAGTAGGAGAACTTGTATGAAGTACGAAGGTCACAAAAAGAAGATTGCTTCCCACTATATACTTGCATTACGTCAAGAAATTCATGTAATCAAAAACTAAATGTCAAAGTTTCAAGATCTAATAAAAATTGTCATTGTTGCTTTTATTGTCATTGTTGTTGACCGAGAGATTCAATTATCATAAACAAGTGGATCTCATCATAACCCTGTAACTAGAAACATCAGCTTCTTCACAGCCAAATAAAGTTGGTTGCCAAAAATAACAGCAACAGATGACAGCCACCCGAAACTTTTGGAGCCTTTTGGTTTCTCAATGAGATGGCGAAGATTAGAGGCTAAGGACCACAGTTGTACAAAGTTGATAACTTCATATTTTTTTTCCTTTGACGACTTCTGAATCCATAGAAACAACTGTTTACTCTGACAGCATGATTTATTAAACAACTTCTAATTCCTCATTTTGATAAGTTTGACAGGCTACTTTTCATGCAAGGGGGCAAAAAAAATTTTAGTCACCAACAAATATCGTAATTGCCATCATTTTAATGATATATGCTAGCCATCAGATTGTATGTATTGGGATATCTACGTCTTCAAACAACACAAAAATGGCTTAGATCATGGAGTGGTGTTTGTTATATCACATATAACACAAGATAGCTGTCAGATTGTATTTGAACTTGGAATATATTTGGACAATTAGGATTTCAGTCAACATAAAGTTGACTTAGAACTTGGGTGGTATATTATATCTCAACTAATTGATCCCATGTTAAAAACTAGTCTTTTGGTTACCGACCAGAAAATATTCACATGAAACAAAACTTTGAGATTGAAGTAGAACAAGGAAATCTAATTAGTGAACAAACAGTGTATCTCAAAAGGAAGAGTTTACACCAAAGTTTTTTGAACAGGAGTACCAAAGCATCACAATTGTAGTTCATCAGACATATGTGATAAAATCAGAAATAGTGGACAAGCATGGGTATGCCAACAAGGAGGATTCCTAAACTAGTTAGCTTCTTATCTTTTTGCACAAGTGCGGTTGAGCACCCTACCGCATGGTAGCAGTATATGTTATTAACAGTACCTCTAATCTACCAAAAGCCCCTCCAATAATAGCAGCTCAATCAACAATCAAGTAATTTGCTGAAATTTAGATGTGTTTTGGAAGTTTGTTTGCACGCGTGAAAGTTCTACTAAGAAAGGCAACAACCAATATACTTGTTACGAAGGTATCATACCTTTGGTACCCAGTCACACATTTAGCTAACCTTGGCTACATAGGAAACCAACATATATGGGCTCAATATTACCATGTCATGAAGGAGCTCCAATAATGTTTACAATGAATTTTCTAATTGAAATATGAGCAATGGCAACTAAATCTTGATTATATTTTCAAAGAAAAACCAGAGAAATTTGAAAATCAAACTAAACACACATTTGTTGCTCTAGGACCCACTGTCCAAGTCTAAATTGCCGCAAAGCTTACTCAAGCAAAATTTAAACAAGTTAAACAAATTAACTAATAAAAAAAAACCCAAGGATATGTCACCCATACAGGAAACGTAGTTTCTGAAGCTTGCCCAATGTCTCGGGGATGGGACCATTCAAGTTGTTCAAGTAAAGATCCAAGCTCACCAAACTTGTCAAGTTTCCGAGTTCATTAGGAATTCTTCCACTTATGTTATTACTATAAAGTTCCCTGCAACAGTAGAACATTGTAGCATGTGTCATTTTATAGACCACGACATGCAAAGGAAGCAGATTTGCAAGTGAAGGAAAATAGTAATTACAAATCTATGACAAGCAATATTACTTCTATATCATAAAGAAACATGAGAGAAATCGGCCAAAGATGAAAACTCCTTGCCATGGATATAATTAAATTTCACATCTACATCCCAAGGTCAAAGTAATAAAAGGTACTAAAACAATATCATGTTTTTAAAAGGGGACGTGATGACAAGAAGTTCCAACTCAAATCTACATTCCCATGCTTGACAACCTTGACTTTTACTATTGCACCTAGCAGTGGCCCTTAATAATATCGTTTACATGTGCTCTGCTTGCGGTCTCCTAGAAGCGGCTGATAGATTTACTTTCTTTTAGAGAAGTTCCAAAAAGGACATCTGCATATGAACCTCGTCTTACCAATATTAACTAATAAAACATGACTGTGTATTTTCAATAAAGTAAATGCAGTCATTCAAAGCTGTAATAAATTGTCTAAAAGAAGTTTGAGCAAATTTGATATAATCAAAAATGAAACGTCAATGAGCATGACAGGTAACACTGTAATAGCAACATTCATTCTTTACATTGGCTCCGAACCCAGTAGGAGGAACCTCCTCCCAACTCATGGCATGTCAAAATACGTGTTTAACAGTTCAACAAACAAAATCATGCTTATTTCTTATGTCGTTCTAATTACAATATTTGATCTTATGCACTATCCTGAATAGAATTTTACTGCTAAAGGGACAGTCCCACCACCATTCCCAAATCACTTGAATTAAAATCTGCAATAAAAGCCTCTTACCCCTGAATGTTTCTGAAGTAACAAAGAATTAAAATGAACAAATGGTCCCATTGGTCATTTTTGGCCTATTCTTTTACAATCATATTTCATCACAAAGCATTAAAAATGAGTAAGCAAGGAATGCAACTATGGTCACAAAAATCGAAAGACTAATCCATTGTTAGCATCAAGTAGAATATGGGAATTACAATGATAGCTGTTTACACAGTGATTGCACTGTGTTAAAGTTGTACGAGGGTTCTCACAACAAGAATTAGAAGATGACAGTAATGCCTCGTGGCAACTATTGAGGGGGAATAGAAGTTAGTGGGGGTTAGTAGTTTTATATTACAGAGTTCAATGGGGTGGGATAGAGATTTATGGGGTGGGAATTGCCCCACCCATTTTTTTGTGTCCCTGGTGATGTTCCATGTTTTGGGGCATAGGGAAAGGCAATGCTTTCCTATTGGACGTGAGAATAAGAAAATGGAAGGTGTGATGGCATAGGAGCTAGTGTCCACATCTATGGCTAACAGAGGTGCCATTCAAGATAGTGATGGAAATTAATTGACAGAGGCCTGGGATTAAAATCATGTACTATGGTAACAGTGATAATATACCACCATCAAATGATAGTTATCAAGGAACATTTTTTAAACTTTGAAAGGAAAATAGGGAAGTGAAAACGAAAATAAATAAATTAAATCCCCACAGAAGCCAAATTAGTACATTGAAGCCTCTTATTTTGACATGTCCCAGTTCAGAGCTAATTATTTTTCTGCCTCAAAGCTAGAAAAGAACAAATGACATGATGTATTATCTGTTGTCCTGCATATAAATGTATATTTTGAAGACAATAGTTGGATACATGTTTGCATGCATAAACATAGTAACACCTCTGAAATTGACTAGTCATAGGAATGAACTAAAAGGCCTCCAGCATGTTTAACTAATACAATACAGCAGCACGGTTGATTATAGAGCAATAAGTAAGTCAGAAACTGTGATACAGCAGATGCCAATAAAAAATGTGCATCCCAAGGAAATTATGGACTTGCAATTCTCCCGGAAGCAAATGAGTCATCCACATTGTTATTTTTGGAACATCTTCAAATATACCCATTATAATCTATCAGCACCTTTCAGGAACTAAAAGAATAGGCTTTGGGATTGCAACCTATATGTATCCAAACCTAGAGGCTCACGATAGAATAGGTTGAAATTTATGGAAAGATTTGAAGTGAGTGAGACCTTTCTAAACAACAAATGACATACCCCTAAGTCCTCACAGTCCAGCACTAAGGCAACTGTCCTAAATTATAGCGAATAGAATAGTTACATTCCATTCTACATTATAATAATGTTGAAAAACCAGAAGGAGCTCATGCAACTACAGGTACAAGCACTAAAATAAAATCACAAAGAAGAACATTAGAAGCTAACCAGAATGATAAATTGTTGGGAGGAGAAGATATCTAGAAAGCCCAATAAGAGTAATACAGAATTGGAGCAAAATTTACATCACAACATTATCACGTACAAGTATTGCAAATATGAAAGCTGACCAAGCTGCTGAACCAGTTGACCAGACAAATTAGCGTTTCCAAGATCACTGAGATGAACAAATGCAAACATGTGTTAATCAAATGAAAATCACAAAGCAACACTATTTACAATTAGCAAGTTACATCACCAAAACTGTCAGAGAATTAAGGTTGCTTACACTCTAGTAACAAAATTATCACTGCTGCACGTGATGTGAAACCAAGTGCAGGGATTGACAAGGGTAGGATCCCAACTTTGCAGAACATTGTTAGGATCAGCTAAGTTGGTCTTCAGAGCATTCAAGGCGTCACCTGTTTTACATAAATAAGTGAGTTATCAGGTACTGTTTCCACATTAACATCTAAAAACTATACCACCTAAAGATCGCAAGTTGTATAAGATGCCATTTTATCATTTCTTAGAGCCAGAACTTACTAATATAAGCAGGTAATGTTCAGTTATAATTAATTTTTGAGTTACAGTTATACAATATTGGTTGGAATTTAGAATTGTAATACGTCTTTAAATTAGCTTTTGCACAGTTACATATTTAGAGAGTAAGAACAAAATCCAATGTGGGAAATTAACAAAATCAGTATGCTTTTCGAGTTAATTGAAGAAACTAATGCACTGAATGCTGAATAAGAATTTGTTCAAAAAAAAAAAGGGTGCTGAATAAGAACAAATCCAACATGAACTTATTCATTCAAAACATCACAATCTAGTGGTGCAAAAAACAAGTCAAAAAATCAAAAGCTTTACACAACAAAGGGTCAACTGAATAAGAGCGCACACACCTTCGGCATTACTGGACACTCGAGATAACCGATAAAACACCAGAATTAAGCAGAGAGAGGCCGAAACCGACATCGAAGAGACCCCCCGATCCATCATTCCCACAGCTAAAAACCTAGACTATGAACCGCAATCAACTGCTTGTAATTATACCAAAAAAAAAACACCGTCCGTCCACTCAAAATTCAAAACCTCGATGAAAATCCCTAATTCCCAAAGCACCCAATTCATCAATCTAA